TCCTGTGGCTTAACACCCTGCTGCCTATGACTTCAAATTCTTAATCATTTTTGAACAAAGAGCCTTGCATTTTCATTTTTTACTGGGCCAGGCAGATTACGTAGCTTGTGCCAACCTCGGTGTATCCCTGCCTCACGCCCTTGGCCTCCCTTGGCACTTAATCTGTCAGGCACCACCATATTTCCAGTTGCTCAAGACCATGGAGGCATCTTGACTTTCTCTCTTTCACTGCCCCTAGCCTCGCTAAGACCGAGTTGTCTCTCAAAACCACATGCAGAATCCATATCCCTCCCTTCCCTTTCTAGTCCTGAGCACCCCCAGCTCAGTCCCTAAAGACTGCCATCAATTTCCTCTTCTGAGGTCTTTCTTTTTTGAGACCGAGTCTTGCTCAGTCACCAGGTCACCAGGCCACCAGGCTGGAGTGCAGCGGCACAATCTTGGCTAACTGCAACCTCTGCCCCTGGGGTTCAAGCCATTCTCCTGCCTCAGCCTCTCAAGTAACTGGGATTACAGGCACACACCACCACACCCAGCTAATTTTTGTATTTTTAGTAAAGACGAGGTTTCGCCATGTTGGCCAGGACGGTCTCCATCTCTTGACCTCGTGATCCTCCTGCCTTGGCCTCCCAAAGTGCTGGTATTATAGGTGTGAGTCACCACACCTGGCCGAGGTCTCTTCTTTAATCCCTTTGGAGCAATACCCCCTTTGGGCTGGCCAGTGTCCATCACTAGGCCAAGGTCAGCCCATGAACGCAGTGACAATGTGGTCATTACACCGGCAGAGCAGCCCAGCTGTGTGTTTATTAGTAATATAGATTCATGGCCACTCCCAGACGGACCTACTGAATCGAAGCACTGAGGGTGAGGTCCAGCCATCCGGGTTTTCATAGGCCCTCCCAGTGGTTCTGGAACTTACTGAGGTTTGAGAAGCATTGCTTTTCAATGGATACTGGTTGCCAGCCACTCCTGGCTCCCCAGGCCTCTGGACCCAATGTGGCTGCTCCAGGGACCCCTGCCCACTCCCTCATGCCCCTCTGGGGAGGTGGCCATCACTCCGCTGCCTATCAAGAAAGCTGATCAGTCCCATCTCCACATGGGCTGCAGTGGACTGACCAGTGCTGCTTAATTAAATAGGGAAAAGATCAGGTCAATGCCAGATAAGCAGGCAGGATTAAAACAGGCAGAAAGAATGGACAAGGGGGAGCTGTCAGCACCCTGGCCTGTCTGGAGTGATTATTAATAATGATAAGCAGGAGAATGGGAATAATAAAGGAATAATGAGCTGGTTCTGAAAGTGACAGGAGATGAAATCTGATAAAGAGCTGAGCCCTGGGTGCCTGCTGCCTGGGGCACAGCAGGAAACTGTGGGAGAGGCTCTGGCCAGGCAGAGGAAAGGGCCCTCTTTTCTCAGGGAGGCCAAGACCCAGGAGGCCTATTTAACCAAGGCCTCAATGAACCTACATGCATTCTCTTTTCTCCTGAAGACCAGGGGGCTTCTCAGTCCCAACAGGTACATGAAAATCACCTATGTTCACCCATGTTCCAAGATGCAGATTCCCAGCCTCCACCCAGAGATTCTAATTCCCCAGGGTGGAAGACAAGCATCTGCATTTCATAAGCTCCCCCTAGGGGATCTGGTGCAGGTGGTCTGTAAACTGCTTTAAGAAACACTGATCTCGTGCCAGGGAGGGTATTCGACCTGGAACACAGGCGTATTTCATGTCCAGATAATTCAGAAAATACATGTGGCAGCAGCTGCCAAAGGACAGACAGTAGGAGGGTGGGGAGGGGTGAACCTGTGCCTCCTAGGCAAGCTCTACAAAGGAGGGCAAAGGTGCCACCTGCACGCAGGGAGGAGGCGTGCACCAGAACTGGCCTTGCTTGTCAAGCCCTGGTCACCTGGCATGGGCACTGAGACATGACCATTGCCATCTCCTTTGACCAGTGGTCACAAACTCAAAATGTCCACAGAAGCCACAGGAAGAGGACAGGCAGGGACTAGGGGAGCTGGAGAGGCAGCCTAAGCCCTGTCCCAGGGTCTCTAGTCAGTGCTGTGAGGGAAAGTAGGCTCAGCACTGGCAGAGCTTTCAATCTAGCAGAGGTCTTGTTTTTACTGTGGGCCAGCAGTTTGCAACCTCTCTGCCTTAGACAAAAGGGGAAGACACTTGTGTAAAATGTATAGGCTCAGGTAGGTCTTCCCTGCCCCAACCCAGTAGGTTGGGAGGCCCAGGAACCTGTGTGTTTAATAAGCCCTGCAGGTGATTTGGATGCAGGCGGACCAGGGCCAGGTGGCTGCCTCTGAGAAACCATTCCTGGCAGGTGTTGCCATTTTGCCTCTAGACTCAAGGGAAACACCTTAGCAGCCCACTTAAAGGTGGTCAGGAAGAAAACCTGATGTCCTTGGCGCAAGGTGGGACTCCCTGGGTTCAGTACTCCCAATATGCCGAGTCAATGGGCAGAGCTTCCAAGGGGCAGAGCCACCCAGTGTTGACGATGGACATGTGTTCCTTACTGAGGGAGACCCCAGAGGAGGGATGGAGCTTTGCTGCATGTCAAGTGAGGAAGAGGATCCAGCAGATCACTGACAGAAACACACAACAGAAAACTGCTCACCTCATCTGGTGCTATGAGGATGGAATGAGAAAGTCCCAGGCTTAAGCCTCAGTTTCTCTTCTCTCTAAAATGGGCGTGATTGCAGTATCCACCTCATGATTGAGAAGACTGAGTGGGATAATGTACAGAAAGCATTTTGCGCATTGCCTGGCAACTGGTAAGAGCGTCAGGAATGTTAGTTACTGTTATTATTGGAGGTCAGTAACATGAACAAAGACACAGCTACGAGGGCATTGCAGGGACTTTACTCAGTCTTCACCACACGCAAAGCCATCTAGGTGAATAGCACCTAACATGGTGCTTGGCGACAGAGCACTTCCCGATATGCATTAAAAACAAATGTTCCAAGGGCCCTCGGGAGATACCAACCCTGATTTGCCCTTAAATTCAAATTGACACCCCACCCCAAACATAGACTGGCCTAGCTCTTCGAGCTGGGCCTTCTTGCTGTACCATGGGACACTGTGTCCTCCCCAGAAGGCCTAACACCTCTGGCTCCCCCTCACCCCGCCCCCCACCACCACTGCCCTGGAAAAACCATCCCAGAGAACGAGTGCTCCCTCTGCCATTTTCTTACTCAGCAGGTCATTAGGAAAGAGTCAAACCGCCGCCTCTTCTTCCAGGGTGCTGAAAGGCTAGCTCTGAGCCTGCACAGCGCCCTGCCTGGGGTCTCGGCTGAGGGGCACTGCCTGAGGGGGCACTGGAGGCCCCTGGGCCTCCTGACCTAGCTCTCAGGGGCTCAGGGGATGCTGCAGTCGGGCAGAAAGAATTCAGGAGGTGAACCAGTGCTGGGTTGGAGCAAGGTCCCTGCCAGGCTGTCATGAGGAGGCAGGGTCAAGGTGGAAGGAAGCAGCCTTAGTCTGAACGATCGTCGCTGGTGGGGGTTAACGAGGAAACCGTATTATGGATAGAGAATCTATGGCGTCAAGTGCACCACTGAAAAAAACGAGGATAGCGGCACCAGCAGGAAAGTTCTGCAAGGTGTGTTGGTAAGAGGAAAAAGCAAGATGCAGGCCAGAGTTGCAGAATGGCGCCAGTTACACAAAGCCCAGCTCTGGGTCTCTTTGTCCACCTATGTGTACATCAGAGCCCTAAATGATCTGGATGGGCACACCCTGCTCACTTCTGGAGAGGGCTGTCCAACGGGTGGGGGCAGAGCAGAGTGAAATGGGATTTTTAATATATTCAAATAGATAGCTTTAAATTTAGTGAATATGCATTAATTGTTTAAATAAAGATGATTTTTAAAAAATAGGATTGTGTGACCTTTTAAAGAGGTATATATTTTTTAAAAGATCGGGCATCAAAAGTTCTTACATCCTCCAGTCAAAAATACGATTGCAATGCAAAAGATGGCACATCTGCTCTCTCAAGGCAACGCACTTTTTAAACAGCCCTGGGTCCTCAAGGTTCCTTGTGTCCTCCTTACTCTGAGCTCAACAAACCTTCACTTCCACAAGAATGTCAAAAACAGCTCCCAAATGCCTGTGTTTTACTCCAAATTAGACCATCTGCTCTCTCCAATAGTCAAATCTGCTAGATTTTCCTTTCCAAACATAATCATGGAAAACTGAAGATGAAATTGAAAGGCTAGCTCTGAGCCTGCACAGCGCCCTGGCTTGAGGTCTTGGCTGAGGGGCACTCCTTGAGGGGCACTCCTTGAAGGGCCATTGGAGGCCCCTCTGCCTCCTGACCTAGCTCTCAGGGGGTTGGGGGATATCGCAAAATGCCAGAGACAGTAGGGGACAAACAGGAGCTCTCCAGCTCACCCACCTGAGATGGTGAGGGCTGATGGGGGAAAATCTTCTTAGTCTGGTTCATTGGGGTATAATTCACATACAATAAAAATCCTCCTTTTTTGGCTGAGCATGAAAAAGTAATCCCAGTACCTTGGGAGGCTGAGGTGGGCGGATCACTTGAGGGGCCAGGAGTTCGAGACCAGCCTGGCCAACATGTCGAAACCCCGTCTCTACTAAAAATACAAAAATTAGCCGGGCGTGGTAATGCACGCACCTGTAATCTCAGCTATTTGGGAGGCTGAGGCAGGAGGAACCCAGAAGCTGGAGGTTGCAGTGAGCCGAGATCATGCCACTGCACTTCAGCCCGGGTAACAGAGCAAGACTCTGTCTCAACAAAAACAAACAAACAAAAATCATTCTTTTTTAAAGCGTAAGGCTTGATGAGTTCTTTAAATACAACAAATGGACATATGACTGCCGCCCAATCAAGATATGGGACATTTCTGCCCTCCAGTCCCCAACCCCCAGCAACTTTCTCTCCTGTTCCTTTGAAGTCAATTGCTGCCCTGCCCCACTCCCCCAGGTTGGTTAATTTCTATTCCCTAAAGAGCTAAATAATTTTTTCCTTCTTTTGTTTATTTCTCCTAGTGCCGTCTCTCCCATCTATGTAGCCTCAATCTCCACCCAGAGAGGCACCTTCTTGTTCAACCTGTGTTCTACTGCCTTTGTCCTTAAAACTGTAAGACCACTTTGGAGGGCCTTGCGCCTTAGGGATGGTGAGGAGCCATCCTTCATCTCCTGTCAGAAACCCACAAAACTTCACAAAACCCACAGTAGCCTCTGCTCTGCCATCAGAGAATGCCCTGCCCAGTTCTGCCATATCAGAGCGGCGGCTTTGCTCCCCGGCGCCTGCCCCAGCAAGGTCTGGGGTGCAATTTCTTCTACATCTCTTCTCCCACATCCAGAGGTGACCTCCAGATCCTGAGAGGCAACAGGTGTCACTCTAGAGGGCAGGAACCTCCTGTCTCCTGGCAGGCCTGGTATATCCCGATATCCCTTGTTCTCTGCCCATAAAGCCACCAACAGAGGCTATCCGCGCCCTGCCTCAGCAAGAAGACGCCAAGTTGCCTTCTACTCCTGCTGAGAGGAGATCAAACTCTTGCCGAGTGCCCCCAAGGGGCTTCCGGCTCCTCCTTTCTGGGCCTCCTCAGTTGGACTGGATCCCACATTGGCACTTACCAGAATGAGAGAGGGATCTGCTGCCTGGCCCCCCAGCGGGGATCCCCGACCTGAATCAGCCACATCCAGCCAAGCCACTGGGGTTTATGAGCCATCTGGCTTTGAAGGTGAGCCCGCTCCCTGTCCCCTTCACAGGCTGTGTCCTCTCAGCCCTGGCCAGGAGTCGCTGCCCCCGCAGTCTAGCTAGGTCACCACCAGCCCACAGTTTGGCTCAGCTGGAAAGCAGGCACCAACACGGAGTTGGAAGTGCAGATTGATCGAAGGTGATTCCTGGGAAAGATCAAGGGGGAGGGGCAGCAGGGGGAGCAGTAAAAGCCTTCAGGTGGTGATGAGGGTGTGGGAAGTAGAAAAGTTCCTTTTTAAAGTTTCCTTTCTTGTTAAAGAATAAGTGTGCTAATAACTTTGTTAAGCCCTAACCTATGTAGCTGTTAGGCATGCCATGCTTACAGGCACATAGTACAGTCTAAGTCCTTGTACTTTAACCAAGATATCTGTGCTGGACGTGCTCACAGCCATGTCCCAGCTCTCCATTGCTTCCACCTGCTTAGAAAAGTTTTAAGTTGTTAGCCAATCGGGTGTTAGTTTAGATTGTGAGGTCTGGCTCCAGCCAACGGAGATTAGACACAGCAGTCAGGACGACCCCAAATGCGTAAGGAATACATTCGTGTGTTTTCCTTTGTTCATTGTACTCTTGTAGCACACTGGCTAGTAAGGGTACGCTTCCTGCAGTCCAGGAAGTAAAAATTGCATTGCTGAAAGACCCTTTGTCTCAGTGCTAATTTTTCTTTGTGGCACCTATTTCCAACATTTATTTCCAACACAAGGTCTGAGGCCCGAGAAAGCGGAGAGGGCAAGAAGGAGGACTGGAGGGCAAGTGTCTCAGACAGCAGCACAGCTCGGAGAAAGTTCCAGCCTCCCAGTGGGGAGCGAGGTGCAAAAATTGCAGCAGACAGTCCTGTGCTGGCTGGAAATGGTGAGCCCTTGCACCACCACCATGGTTAGTCACAGGCTGGGAAGCACATGGTCTCAGCAGGGACACTGAGGCCGAGCCTGAACACGCCACCACTGGAGGCCGGCCCCTAACCTCAATCTTTGCCGTGTTCTCTCTTGCAGGCTGAGGTGATCCGAGGGGGGCCCCAGAGCGGCCTGTGTAGAGATGCTGCTGGCTGCTGGGTGGCCCCCGGGCCTCTTTATAACGCCTACACCAGTGGAGGCTAGAGAAAGAAGAAGGCAAACCTCCCACCTTTCCCTGTGACTGCTGAGCACAGGATAGACACCATCCATGCTGGGCAACTGGCAAAGGGTCCCATTTCCGGCCCTGGAAACATCCTAGGACTCTGCTTCAACTCTTGTCAGATGTGTGCCAGACACAGAGTTGGGCAGATCAGAGAAGGAGAGCCTGTGCTCAGTAAACTGGACCTCTCCACAGCTTGCATGATGTGAGGTTAGATGGCAGGCAAGGGTCCTGGTTACTGACAAAGGATGCTGGCTTTCGTTAGTAATCAGGCTCCAGGCTCAGGAACATGACTTTGGTTGGGTAAGTGTTCTTGGGGGACAGAATCCTCACTAGCAAAATGAGAAGGTTGGGGAGGGGTCTTAAAGCCAATGCCCGCAGTGGCCCGGCAGGAATGTGTCCACGGAAGTGGGTGGGCTGTTCCGGTGCTGCTCATTAAAAGCTGTTGCTTCTCAATTCAATCAATAGCCGCTGTAAGAAAGGCAGCTCCAGAGTGGTCAGATGGTCCCAATTTCTTTTCTTTTCTTTTTTTACTTTTTTGAGACAGAGTCGCGCTCTGTCACCCAGGCTGGAGTGCAGTGGCAAGATCTCAGCTCACTGCAACCTCTGCCTCCCAAGTTCAAGCAATTATCCTGCCTCAGCCTCCCAAGTAGCTGGGACTACAGCCATGTGCCACCATACCCGGCTAATTTTTTGTATTTTTAGTAGAGACGGGGTTTCACCGTGTTAGCCAGGATGGTCTCTATCTCCTGACCTCACAATCCGCCCGCCTCGGCTTCCCAAAGTGCTGGGATTATAGGCGTGAGTCACTGTGCCTGGCCGATCCTCCCATGTTCTAAGAGAAGCTGGAAGCTGCAATCAATTGTATCGATAGAAATAAGCAGCTGAGCTTTGGGAGCGTGCGGTTATTTTCCAAGAGAAGCTGGAAGTCTAAGCCTTTCAGTTTTAAATGTTGATAATTAACAAAACAATTAAAAACAGCGCATAAGCCAAACCCAACATATCCTGTGAGTCAATATCAGCCTATGGCCTCCAGTTTGTGACCTTGGGGTAGATGCCCACTCAGGTCCGGTCGGGGCCTAATGCCCTATGATTTATGGTCAGGTACAACAAGTGACACTGCCTGCCCATTCAGTGTGATCAGAACTGGTCCTCACGGAGTGCTTACTTTCTGCCAGACGCTTAACAGGCATCAGCTCATTTAACCATCACAGCAGCCTATGAGACAGGAATGATTTTCAATGTCACTCCACAGATGAAAAAACTGAGTCTCAAGGAGTTATGAGAGGGTGCCCAAGGTCGTACAGCTGCTATGTGAAAGAGCAGAGATGTGAACCTGGCATCATCCACATTCTTAGCCATCACGCCCACCTGCCTTGCTTCCACTAGGCTGACCATCAACTTGCAAGGGACACTTCAGCACCATACAGCCCACAAAGCATCCAGGGGAATTCTGGAACTGGTACTTAAGAGGAAGTTCCCAAATTCATTCTCTGTTCAGGGCTGTGGCTCTCCCACCCGCTCCTGTACTGTCCCTTGGGGTCACACCTCCCATTTGCTGGCAGTACATGTGGCCGCTGAGTGGAATCTACCGCCACTTCAGGTCTGGAAGAGTTAGCGTTTTGCAGGATTCCTTCTGGTCTTCTCCCAGCCCCTTCTCAGTCAGGTGTTTTCTTGTGGGGAGCCCACGAAGGGGGATGCCCTCCCTCCTCCCCGAGGCAGCGCTGTTTGCTACAGCTGCAGCAGCTGTTCCTGGGCAGGCTGGCCAGCCAGTGTTCACTGAGAGCCAAGAGCCCCTGCAGCCCGGGAATTCTGGGCTAATGCTCAATCCTGGCATGGTCCTCTCTCTCACTGACCCCTCCAGTCCAGGTCACCACGACAGATGCTGGGAACATATGCCGTGAATTAATTCACTCCGGCACAGCCACAGAGGAACAGCTTCCTCCTCGTTTCTCCTCCCACCACCCTTGCTTTCTGATTTCTGCCTTGACAAAAGAAAAATCAAATTTCTCCCCTTCCCTCACTTCTAACACCCCTCCACCGGGCCCCCTCTTCATTATCCTGAGCGCACTGCCAAAGGCATTTGGCTTCTAGAGACTTCCTCACCCCCACATCCCAAGTAGGATCAAAGGGCCGAGAAGGAGCCCAGATGTCCCCTTTCCAGCTTTTTGTCTCCAGATAGATTATGTCCCTGTTCCTGGAACTGACGAGTGCTCATTTCCTTTTCTTAAAGGTTGTCTCTCTTTTAGGGGCCAGAATCTCCCCACCCTTCTAGTCCTTCCTTATATTTAACTCAAATCATTCCTGTTGCAGTGAATTTTCTGGATAGAGAAACAAGCAGCTGAACTCCGTGAGCATGCAGGTTTGTTATTTCTCATCTTCATTCTTTCCTCTAAGGAGGGGTTGGCAACATTTTTCTGCCAAGCGGCAGATAGCTATTATTTTAGGCTTTGCAGGCCAGACGATCTCTGTCACAACTAAGCCATTGTAGCATAAAGGCAGCCACAGACAAATGAGCTTTTGTAAACAAATGAGCATGTAAGCAAATGAGCATGGCCGTGTTCCAGTAGAACTTTATGGAAACAAGTGGCAAATGGGGTGTAGTTTCCCGCCCTTTGCTCTAAGCAAATCAGTCCCTCACCTCTGTTATTTCTTGGTGGGCGAAGTATCCCTCTCTCTCTCCCCCAATCTGTATTTTGCAGCAGATCATATGGACTCCTTCACTCACACAGAAAGGTCCTATTTCTTTGTTGGCTTGTGAGTTTCTTGAGGTCAGGCGTGTGCCTTATTTGATTTTGAACTGGAATAAGCATGCAGTTTGGATAGAAATGCAATCGACACGCAGTCTTAGACTGGAAGACCTTACAGGCTAGTGAGGAATACAGACAGGTGCGGTCTATGTTCTCAAAGCAGAGACAAACTCAATGGTAGGAAGAGGGCCGGGAGGGAGGAATCAGGAGATGCACCTCCCACAAACTCAGAGCAACCTTTGAAAAAATTAAGGACAGGAAACAAGAAAAAATGAAGTGCTTACTTAACCCTGATACCCCGAAGAACTGAAAACATACAATAAATAAAGAAAACTGAAGCCCTGAAAAACAGTTTGGCAGTTTTTCTTAAAAGTTAAATGTAAACATTCCATATGACCCAGCACTTTAATTCTTAGGAATCTAGCTAGGCAGAATGAAAATATGTGTGCAGCTGGGCACGGTGGCTCATGCCTGCAATCCCAGAACTTTGTGAGTCCAGGGCAGGCAGATCACTGGAGCTCAGGAGTTCAAGACCAGCTTGGCTGACATGGTGAAACCCTGTCTCTACTAAAAATACAAAAATTCTCCTGGAGCAGTGTAGTCCCAGCTACTCAGGAGGCTGAGATGGGAGAATTGCTAGACCTCAGGAGGCAAAGGTTGCAGTGAGCCGAGATCATATTCCAGCCTGGGTGACAGAGACTCTGTCACAAAGAAAAAAAAAAATCTGTGCACAAAGAGACGTGTACATGGAATGTTCACAGCAGCTGTATTCATAATACCTCAAATCAGAAACAACCCAAATGCCCATCAACAGACAAATGGTTAACCAAATGTGGTGTGCATCCACACAACGGAATACCATTCAGCAGTTAGAAGAACTCCTGATAAATGTTATAGCAGGGATGAACCTTGAAGACATGCAAATAAAAGCCGAACCCCAAAGAGTGTGCATTCTATGAGTCCATTTACAGACACGTCCAGAATCAGCAAATATTGATGGGTCCGGAGAGCAGCTGCCCAGGGCTGGGGATGAGAGCAGGAATGAACTGTACACGGACACGAGGGAATTCTGTAGGATGACATAAATGCTCTATAAGGGACCCATACATTTCCTAAAATCACTGAATTGTACACCTTCAATTGTATACTTCTAATTTTTTGGCACACAAATTTTATCTAAATAAAGCTGTTACAAATAACAAAACGCCAAGCCATCTTTCTATCCACGGCTGAGACGTGATTCATGAGAGATGAAGGCGATACCCGCTAGCCGACTGCAGGTGCTATTGCCATAAACGGCCACTTTTCCTATGTTAACTTTTTGATCTTATCCATTTCTAAAATCCAGGAACAGCAGCTGGCTTTTAGTGGGTACCACAATCCCAACAAGACAAGACTAATATCATCCCATTTTTCCAGATTATCAAACGGGATCAGAAAGGGAAAGTAACTTGCTCCAGGGCCCACCGCTACATTCTGCCTCAACCCCATTCTGCCTGATTCTAGAAGCTGTGCTCTTTGCCATTGTTATTTTCCCCTATTCCCTCTACCTGTCCCCTTCCCCACTGATTCTGTGACCTCAGGGAGAAAAGCACGGTGCTGCTTGGTCAAGCAAGGCAGAGTCTATGCTTCCCTATCTCTCTGCAGCCAACAGCACCTCGCATGCAAGTCTCCGGCAGCAGTAAGCCCAGAAGCGCCCTTTACTACTAAGCAGAAAGGCCTTGATTTGTGCAAGCAGCACATTTTGGTCAAGCAACACTGAACAGGTGGTGACATCGGTTTCCACCAGGAGCATGTAGTTACAAAAGCCCGTCTGAGTTCATCCCTGGTTTTAGCAAAGATGAGCCACCAGTCAGGGATAGAGATGACCTAAGCTTCAGCTGCTGGCCTGCCGGATGAATTTCCAGCTTGAGCTCTTCACTGGGAGCCAAGTTCCCAGGGAGCACTCGTGCAGGGGCTCCGTGGTGCTGCTCTGCCTGTCTGCTGCAGTGGGCACACCCTTGCCTGGCAGGAGCTGGCCGAGGCCTCCCAATCTCTGGTCTCTGACAGACAGAGCCCATTGTTCTCCTCTCCTGCAATGCAGCGTCAATAGTTTTGCCTCTTCCAGGCCAAGACATGAAGAGGCCATGCAGTAGTAGTTTCAAAGTTTTCCACAGTCTGCCTGTCAAGCCCAAGGAAGCCTGAGAATGCTGTCAGCATAGGAGGGAGGGGGCCCCAGACACCCACAGGCCTTCTCTGATAAGCTGAGCCTTGGGCACAGTGAACTGGAGAACCTTCTCTTTCCTTGACACCCCCACACCAGGCACCTTGACTTTCAGCTACTCCTCCAACAGGTCAGGCCCACGCCTGCCTCCTGGTTTTTGCCAGTACTGTTCCTGCTACTGGGAGCACTGTTCCCTGGGCACTAGTCTTGCTCCTTCCTTCACCTTGTCAGGTGTGTGCGCGAATGCTCCCTCCTCAGGGAGGCCTCCCCTGCTCACCCTATTAAAAACCACAGCCCCCCACCCCAGCCCATTTTCATTTTTCTCTATAGTATCTCTTACCTCCTGTGACACTATCTATTTTACTCTATTTGTCCATCTCCCCTTCCAGAATGTAAGCTCTACAAGGAAAGGGAGTTTCACCTGTCTAGTTCTGCGTCTGGACTGCCTAGACCAGAGCCTGGCATGAGGGCAGTGTCAATCAATTATTTCATAAAGTAATGAACTTCCCCATCACAGCACAGCCTATGAGTGGCATCTCCGCAGTGACCACCCAGTGCCAAAGACACCAGGGGAGACTTTATCAGAGAGCAGCTGGGCTACCCAAGCCTGCTCAGAGGGGACTTGAGCCAGTCTAAGAGAAACTGGTAAGGAACTGGTTAACAAGCCATGTACTAACAGAAATGGCAACACCAAGATTCTTCACTTCACGCCCCTCCATGCCTGCATAAAACCGTATTGGTGCTACCTGTGGATGCTTGCTGATTGTTATGCCATCTTGGGCTGTCTTCCCGAAACGCTCTCTGAAATCAAGTATATAACCTCATGAAGGTATTTTCCATGTGAGATGAGAACCGGGTGGCCGTAGATTTTGGAACATCTCATTCCTCTGGCACCCTGATGACATGATGTGCAAATTCTGGGTAAAGGAAGAAGCCCAGACAGGACATGGCCAGGGCACAGGACGAGTGAAAGGAGACTCAGTCACATGTGGCCTGGACCTAATTTGTCCGAGCTTAGTTCACTCAATGCAGAGATGCTCCTACCCAGGTCTGCTGCTGTGGGGCCAAGACTCTTGAGCTCACCCATGTTGCCAGGCTTCACACCAGGGGATTGACAGAAGCCCTCTGCTCTGTGGTCACTCCGCAGACAAGGGTGGGGGTGGGGGGTGGTGGCCGTGGACTTCTTTCTCCCAAAGAACCTGCAATTCTGTCTGCTATAGACTAGATTACTTTCCCAAGCTGAAGGCAGCAGTGGGTAACAGAAACAGTTGTTAACGCACTGTGGCATCAGAACTTGGAATTCCAGCTCTGCCACTCAGCTGGATAATCTTGGGTGATCCCTTAACCTCTCTGAGCCTCAGTTTCCTCATCTGTTAAGTGGCATAACCACAGCCTCTGCTTCACTGGGAGGCTGTGAGGCTGAAACTTGGTAATTCCTATGTGCGGAGCCCAGCACCTGGCATGTAGTGAGAGCTCCGTGTTAGATCTTCTTGCTGCTGCTGTTGTAAAATAAAGGGAGAAGGGAAGTCAGCCCCTAGCCACTTGCTCAGGCTGGCTGAAGACCTCCAAGGTTATCAGAGTCCTGAAGCAGTTGATTTGCCAGTAATTAAGGGAACAGAAACGCAGCCTTTCTCCTTTGGGTTTCGGATTCATGTAGACTCAAGCAAAACTAGCCTAGATGGAAACTTTTCCACGGCCATGGGAATTATTCCAAAGAGGGGCTGCCTGGGCTAAAAGTGTGACTCTGGAAAAGGAGGAAATGGGACCCTAAAGCCACTAAATCCCCGAGTTTATAATTAACAGACAAGCATTCGCTCTGCCTGTTCTGGAGCCATGTGGCTCGCCGGGGAAGGGCACCATAGTCACACAAAAATAACCCCCCAGTGGGTTTTTGATGTGCTGAGCCTCTTTGTTTTTCTGAATTTTAATGAAGGGCTTTCCAGGCAGGATAAGAGAAGCACTCAGCGCTCTCCATGGCTGAGGAGTGGGCCTCAGTTAGCTGCTGCCAGCCTAACCCAAAGCCGCATGGGCCTAACCCAAAGCCTCATCCAAGAGAAGCAGGCAGGGAAGGGGCTCTGTCCTCAGATGAGAGAATCTCAGGGAGGAAAAGAGAAAAACAAAACCAAAAGACATCTCAGTTTAGGAGAAGGGTAGGACTCTGCTCCTGATCTCAGCACATCTTGGAACCAGGCAGTTATAATACTTATAGCGGTGGAGAAGGCAGCCACGTATCTGAAAGGATGAGGAGGGAGGCCCAGGCTCCGAAAGAGAGGGCTTCCATGGAATTCCCAGGGCTGCTGGCTGGCCCCTTCCATGAGATTCAGAAACGAGGCTCTGGGAACCTGTAATAGCTTTTGGAGCTCAAGGCATGGGTTGCAGGAAGACGGGAGAGAGGAGAATGTTGTCAGAACCACCACCAAACCCTGATGAAAATGAAGAATGGGTCTCCTTATCCCTCCTGCCTCCTGCTCCCTCTGCCGCAGCTGCCTGGAAGCCTGTGATGCAGGTGGCAGTGCAGGGTCCCTAAGGTCACAGAGGGCCCAGAGCACCGCAGGAGGGGAGGCCCCACCCCAGAACCCTCGCAGGCAACTGTTTGAAACCTCCCAAGAAGTGGACAGCTTCCAGTAGAAGTGCCCACTCCTCCTCCTTCTCCTGAAGCAAACTCTCCCACATGCTCCTCAGCTCTGAGTTTCGAGTTCCTATCAGCTGGCTTAAAAACTGTTCTCCTTCACTTGCAATAAACTTTTCCAAGAAGAGACTGGAAAGAAAGGGAGGAGATGGCACAGGATAAAGCAATTTATTGCAATTGAATTATCCAATGTGGTTGACTGAATATAAATATTTTTATTACAAAATATGTAAAAATTTGGAGCTGCTCGCAAGCTTCTTTAGCTTTAAGCGCACTGTATTTTTTCATGTCTAGAGAGTGGGTGACGGGCTCAGGTGTGCCTGGGTTGCCCCGCAGGTTCCTCCTTCTCTGTTTGCAGTGGGTCCCACTCAGTGAGGGTCTCTGAGGACACCTCAGTGAACAGATGGTCCCAGTCCCAGCCGACGTCATCCTGCCAAGAAGGGTACCACTGGGTAAGGCAAACAAAGGCCTTTTCCCTCAACTGTAGCTGACTCCGCCCACCCATCCAGGCCTCAAGGAGGCACAGATCAGCCTGGGAGTCACTGGTTATATGAATGCCAAAGCGGAGAGGCCGGGGAACTGGTGCTGCCACTGTACCTCCCGGACTTCGTGCTCTGGCGCAAGCACTTTGGTGAGGAGTTTCAGGTCGATCTCCCCATCCTGCAAATGCAAACAAAAGAGGTCAGGCTAAGCACCTCGAGGGCTTTCAGGCAACTATTTCTTGCAAAATCACAATCAGTTTTTGTGTGTCAGAACTTCCCAAACAGAACTTTCCAAACTGAGACCTGCAGACATGCCTTCAAAGAGAGTAAAATTATGAATGAACCCCCGGCCACTGGGAAATGAGGGAAGGCTATGCTTCCTACATGCTGGGTGTGCTTTGGGGCAAAGGACCATACTGGGAGGGCAGAGCATGACCCACAGGGACAGAGGGGAGTGGGTGCCATCAGGTGCCAAGTGAGCAGCCATGGAGGCAGGTGGGAGCCTGGCACTGAGAAACACTGGAATATGTTGGGTCCAGGCTTGCCGTGAGATGATCGAGGATAAAACCTCCAGCAGAGGTATGGGTGCTGGGCAGCCAGCCTCAGGGACTGCTGCAGATGCTGTATAGCTTTGGAGGAACTGAGAAATCTCTATGGCTGTTGCTTGGAGCCTGTGTCTCTATGCAGACGCCGTTCCACTCACCAACGTCTGAATGGCTGAGTACTTCATGAGGTCATTGTCTAGGTCTCGGTAGGTCATCACCTGCTTTACCTGAATGCTGAAGGAAAGAGACAGCGAGAGGAGGGAACCCCAGGCAGGACCTGTTCCAGGAGTGCTGCCAGGCCACCATCCCCAGAGCCTCGTACACAGCCGGGGATGACCAAAATGGGAATAACATGTCTTAATGAAACGGGTACCCTGGATGGAGCTCAACACCAGAAAGATCTGGATTTACACTGGGGGGTGGCAAAAGGCCGCTGTAGATAATATTTGGAGTATATTAATTCATGTGTTCTCTGCCTCCCTAATCATATCCGATTTAACCTACCTGGGAGGGGCTGCCACCTGCAAAACAAAGTCTTCTTCTTGTACTTCCTCCAGATCCGGAATGATAGGCATATCTGCAAGGAGAGGCAGAGGCAGCCCTGTCCACGGAACTCATAGGGATTGTGTCTGCTTCCCCACTTCTCACTCACTCCTCTTCAACACACCAGCCATGAGGCCGTGGGCTGGGGCAGGAATCTAACTAGGGGTAGGATCAAAGGTGGAGTTTCAACAATGTCTGAATCCCAACCTCACACCAGAACCTGCTGAGGTAGAACCTCCTGGGTCGGGCTCAGGCATCTGGATTTTTTCCCCAGGAGTTCCCTGGTGATTCTGATGCATGCAACAGGTCAGGAGCCACTGCAGTGGGTCTCCAAGGAGAAATGTAAAGAAATAAGAGTCCCAGACAGCACGTGAGGAAGGTCTTGTTAGAAGAGAGGAAAGCAGAGGAACTGACAAGTGAACCTGGCATGGTAAGGGACAGAGGAACTGAGAGTGTGTAGTGTCACAAAGCGGATATGCATTAGCCCCGGAGTGCAATCGTCATGGCCCTCAGCCTGCATCTGAAGGGCATCTTCCACCTAATGACACAGCCTGACTCCTTGGGATCCGGGTCTCCATTCACTAGGTCTAATATAATCAGTGATGCTGAGTCTATGATTGTGCTTTTCTTGCTGTCTCAAGATTTTCCATCTCTGAACTCTCCAGACAACATATGAAGAAACATGAGGCCATTTCTTTCACCAGTCCAACAAAATCATGCAAATAGAGAAAGTGGGAAACCAGTCCATCCCTTAACCATGGCAACTTGCTTAAGTGACCAAAAGCTGTCCATGTTCTCATGGGTCAACCTAAAACCCTAAAGAAATATCTCCTCCTCCAAGTGACTATCACGGACTGGTTGAGAGATTTTGTTTCAAACAGTCAGGGATAAGGGAGAAGAAAGAGATGGTACAAGAAAAAGGCCTGGTGGGGTGAGGCAGTCCTGGAATTTCTAAGCCAACTGTAAACACAGAAAGAAGGAAAAATCCCACAGAGAGACAAGCGAAGACATCTTTCATTTCTGCTTTCACGGGCTGACTTCAATCTTAGTTTTAAAATCATTTCAAGAACATCTGAGAAGACCCTTGCCACTTTCAGGCAATTCATGACTTAGACTTTTCGATCACTCCAGTCAAGTGACGCCAGAAGATGAAAATGTCAGTTCCAAGCCTGGTGTCTTTATTACGACTTCCGACAGTGGAGGCACAGATGTTGTACCTGGAAAAAGAGAGCATGGAAGGGAGAGACGGAGACAGAGAGAATTCAGCAGAAAGAGACGGGCAGAGAAAACAAGGGATAAAAAGAGCAAAAGGGGATAAAAATAAAAAGGAGTTGCTGATAGAGAAAATAAAGAAGAGACAGGCTGGGCACGGTGGTTCAAGCCTGTAATCCCAGCACTTTGGGAGGCTGAGGCAGCTGGATCACGAGGTCAAGAGATCGAGACCATCTTGGTCAACATGGTGAAACCCCGTCTCTACTAAAAGTACAAAAAATTAGCTGGGCATGGTGGCGCGTGCCTGTAATCCCAGCTACTCAGGAGGCTGAGGCAGGAGAATTGCCTGAACCCAGGAGGCGGAGGTTGCGGTGAGCCGAGATCACGCCATTGCACTCCAGCCTGGGTAACAAGAGCGAAACTCCGTCTCAAAAAAAAAAAAAAAAAAAAAAAAAAGAAGAGACACATCCACTCCCCCCGCAATAATGAACCACATTCAGCAAGTCTTACATCTAGAAAGGGGATGTTCAGAGCTTAGATTGTATCTCTCTGTCCTGCTAGAGAACTGGAGACTGAATGCTCTAAGATTCTATTTATTATGCTAATAGAAACTTAGCTTTCTTTTGCCCTCCTGCTCTGCGTGATTAATACAGTCCATTGTGCAGGCTGCTGAGAGTGTCGTTCCCAAGGCTGGTAAGGCTGCCCAGGCCCCGTGGAGGGCTGGGAGGAAGCTGGCTGTGCCGCGCACCATCAGCAGTGTGACAGTTTTGGAGTGCGCCTGGCTCTCCTCGGGTGCAGAGTCCAGCCTGAGATGAATATTCAGAAGGTGGTAAGAAAATGCCCCATGCTGAGTTTGGGGCTCAGGACAGGGTCTTCCCGAACTCCCCTTTCCCTCCACAACTTTAGCATTTGGGTCCTGTCAACTCTGCCCAGCGTCTTGGGGCTCTCAGGAATTGCACTTCTGCCCAATGTCCACTCTCTCTCTCCACGGGCTTCCCTCTTCATCCCCAACCCCCTCCTCCAAATGTGCACAAAGAGTGTGGGGCTGGCCCATCTGTGACAGATCAGAGGTCAGCTCGGGCCTTGGCAAAGGGGCCGCTCAGAACGGCACTGGTGGGGCTGGCCACACAGTGGGATTTCTCTCTAATTGGAAGCCTGGTGCCCAGCAGAACCTGGTGAACCGCCTGAGTGGGACAGAGCCAGCGATGACAGCCAGGCCAAGGCAAGCTGGAACATTCTTGTGCAGTGACAGCTTGAGCCATCGCAGCAGAGGCAGGCCATCCAACTCCGGCCCCCAGCAGAACAGGTGTCTACGGAGCAGGTTTTGGGCAAACTTCAAAGAACTTCACAATTTTACAGTTTCTGCAAGTGTTCATGAGCACATATGTTTTGGAGAATTTGATTTTCTCTTTATCTCCTTCCCTCCTCCCTGCTCCCCCACTCTCACATATACCATGAACGACCACAGGAAAAAGAAAACAGACTTAAGAAACCAGCTTCTTCACAAAATTACTTATGAGGAGGGACCTGGCCTGCATCCCATAAGAGGCAGTGACTTGACTCGCAAAGGTGGACGGGTGATGGGGCCTGCTTCAGGTTGTAAAGTTTGCCCTGCAAAGCACATGATTTTAACAGAGACAATACGAGGAAGACAGGAGTCATTCTGGCACTGTTGAAAAGCAACCACCATTTTCAAAAATTTTTCTTCAACGTTGCTAATACCGAGAAGAACGTGAACGGCTACAGTGAGGTCAGGAGCATGCTGTGTCGGTGGACTCCTGCTTCATGGTTCAGAGGCAGGCTCTGGAGGCAGGAGGGTCTGCTCCAAACCCAGGCTCTACCACCTACTAGTTGTGTGACTTTTTCTTTCTATGCCTCAATTTCTTCATCAATAAAATGAAGGTCAGACTCACGCCCACCCATTCAGTTGCTGTAAGTATTAAATGTAATGATCTTCATAAAATACTAGCACTGTGATCAGTATAGAATATTCATTAACTATTCTTATGGACTTATCCGATACTATATTATGTATGCAGAGGAACTATATGGTTCCAACTTCATATTCAGCTGCCCAGTGATGGCCATTTTTCAGAAGAGAACACTGAGACTAAGCAAGATTAAGCAGCTTGCATGGGGTGAAACTATGAATAATGGACCGAGCCAGGCTTCCCACTTCAATGTGGCGGCAATGCCTGAGCTGTGCCACACCCTACACGGGCTTTCTTCTCAAAAGTGAAACGCATTCAAAGACACCTCGTCCTATAGTGAAGGGGTGAGACAACTGCCTGTGGTCAAGACATCTTTCACTCGACGTCCTCTGAGACTGAATGTCCTCTCTTCTGGGGTCTTTCTCTTGATTCCAATAACCATAAATCTGCTAAGTCCTCTCCCTTACTGTAAACCCTGACTCGCTACTTCCCTAAAAGGCCAAATGGAGCAGAATGAAAAACATGTGGCACACCAGAGTCCCAAAGACTCCATCTCCACCAACCCTATCTTATTAAACCAGCCTGAAGGAGGAGGAGGCAGCCAGGCACCTTGAACAGCCCGAGGAGAAGGTGAGGCTGTGACACCCCCAGCACCATGGGAGCTGGTATCCCCAGTTTTTGTCTCAGTTCCCCGGAAGGCAGTGCCACCCTCACACGGCCATGCTGTTCTCTGCCCCAGCTCTGATGCTTTAACAGAAGACTCCTTCTTGCCTTGTGCACCGCTCCCTGGCTCAGTGTTAGCTATTTCCTATCTGTTCAACCTGTCTCTGCCCCACGTGGTGCCTGGTCAGCCACGCTGTGGGGAAACTCCATTCGTCTGCTTGTTCATTCATTCATTCATAGTTTCCTTCCTTCATTCATCCATTCAAGGATACTGATGGAGCAACCACTATGTGAAAGGTACCATGCCAGTAACAGCAGCAAATAAAATAAACATGCTCCCTGTCTTCATGGGGCACCAGTCTGATAGACGCCAATAAACACAGAGAAAGGTACTGCTTGCAAATGAAAATACACACAAAGAAAGAAACCAACCGGATCTCATGATGGAAAGTAACAGGGAAACCTGAGTATTTTTCTAAAACAAAAGTAACATTATAGGTAGTAATAAATTCGAGTGCTATAGAAAGGCTTAGAATGAAAATGTCCCTTCCTTCTGTGAGACCCAGTCATCTCCCAAGAGGTAATCACTGTTAACGACTTTTTCATACTTATTTACTGAAAAGAATTTGTGAATAACACAGCATGTATGTCCTTCAAAAGTGTTCACAAATGGGATCACACTACACAGACACTGTTCTGTACCTTGCTTGTATCTTTTCTTACATGTATTTTTATATACATGTATTTTTTCTTTTAAATGACCTTCTCCTATTCTGTTGAACACTGCTCCACAATGCGTTTAATCCAGTCCAGAGAGGATTGAATCTGGATGTGTGGGATTAGAGTTAGTAGGGTTAGGATTAAACAGTTAAAGGAGGAAGGTATTTCTGAATTGAGGACAGGGCAGCTGAAGCTGAGGGAGGAGCAGGATTCAGGCAGGCAGGAGACAACAGGTGCAAAGGTGCTCGGTGGTGAGAAGTAACGAAAGGCAGGACACTGTGGTTGGACTATGCCAGACCCCTTCCAAGGCATGACGGGGGAAAACCCAGAGGGACTAAGCAGGATTGAAAATGCATGTCCCCTCCTTAGTGGTGCACTTCTGAACCTAACAAGCAGAAATAAAAGCTTCCTACTTTATCCTTCCATAACACTTTCTTCATGGCCACAGGGTAGCCCTCACTACCTTGCAGGAGGTGGAGTACATGAAATTTGCTCCACGTCTGCCCCC